CAACTTTAAAATTTTGATGAATTTATTGTTGCTAAACTATCTTTTATAAGTTGAACTCATCCTCGTTCTTCACTTTTTAGATAAAAGCTATTTTTGGGAAATTATCGAAGCTTTTAATACGCAAAGAAGTCATTATTAAGCGTTATTATGCACAAAAGCCTGTATTTTTTCACAAACCAAATTAAATACCTTTTTAGTTTTAATCTTGTACTACCCAGCATGCTAATTTCTGTTCTCGCTCTACTTGGTTTTACACTACCAGCAGATTCAGGCGAAAAGCTCAATCTAGGTGAGTGCTATGTGCTCCCTTTTTTCTTCCATATATTTTGAAAAAACAACACGCTTCAAAACCAAACGAGTTCTATTCAAGCCAAGCCATTTAGGCGTTACAATCTTTATGTCACTTTGCGTGTTTATGCTGATGGTGGCCGAAGCGATGCCGCAAACAAGCGACGCGTTACCGTTAATAGGTATAATAGGTTGTTTTTTTTTACAAATCTGCTTAGAATTGATAACTTGAATCTTTAGAAGTGTACTTTTCCTGCATTATGTTCGAAGTGGGGGCATCCGTTGTTTGCACAGTCTTTGCGTTAAATTTTCATCATAGAACGCCTGAAAGCTACCATCCAATGACATCATTGGTCTGTACATAAGTTATGGAAAATCGGATTGTCCTTGAACGAATGCAAAGTTTCAGACAAGAAAGATTTTGTTAGAGTGGCTACCAATTCTGCTGTTCATCGAACGTCCTCCGCCTTTTAATCCAGAACAACTCAATGGACACGTCGTCTCTGAAAGACGTAAAGAGAAAAGGTGATTGCGAACTGCGAATATGTCAATTCATCATCTGTCAAGAGTTTTACCCGTAGACTCCCAATTTGTGCAAATCTTGTCAAGCTAAGATTTATTTAGAAAGTTGAAGAGTTTTATGATTGACGCAGAGAAAACTTTGATGAACAATTGCGTCACTCAACACAACCACAAAACAAAGGCTGTTCATCTCGACTTCTGTCACGGTCAGTGGTTATCATTATATAAATATGGTTTGGTATATAAACAGACAATTAACATGCCGCTTGCTTTGTATAACATAGTCGGGCTTAAACTAGATACTACTTGAAGAAGTTTGTTTGAACAAAAGAGAACCCCAACTTC